TCCCAGGAGCATTCTATAAGCCTCCTATGCTACGCATGCCCTTTTTTTGACAAAAAAATGGGCCTGTTTTTGTGAAAAATGGGCCATTTTTGCTTGTTTTGGGCCCCCCTCCCCAGGAGCACTCTACAAGCCTCCTAAAGGCTATTCATGCCCTTTAAAAAGGGGGGGGGTTTGCAAAAAAACGGACCATTTTTGGGAGGTCTGCAGAGTGCAAAGGTTTTTTTAAAAAAATACTTCTTCAAAATCTTGGCGTATTTTATACTTCAGTGCGTCTTATACTCTGAAAAATACAGTACATGCAATTTTAAGAGTAGGAAATGTTACCCAGAGAAATGATTCAACTCTTAGACAGATATTTGTCACAGGTGCTTTAATTTAGATTTCTGACGTCTTCACTGGACTATAAATGGTTCCTTTTACTTCATTGATTCTGTAACTAACCTAGCAAATCTAGATCATTTAACTAACTATTAAACCTAAAGCCTGTGATTAATTGGGCTAAGAATGCAGATGGTCCTAATTTAACAATTAGTCATTCAGTAACTGAACTTGCAATTAAGTTACAACTGATCCTTGAACTTGTGGATGTCAAAGTGTCCCTGTACTTGATTGTATGTTGATTGAACAACCAGCTTGGATTTCTGACCAGCACAGCATCCCATGGTCACATGATTGTGGTTTGTGATCTTCCCTGCCAACTTCTCACAAGTAAAGTTAATACTAGATGCTGCCAGGAAGCTGAAAATACCATAGCAATCATGTTAAGTCCTTGCTTATTGATCCAGATGGCTCTCTCTAAATGATGGTAACTGAGGACTACTGGAATTGCCATTGCTAAGTTGTCTTGATACATTATGCTTTTTGATTGCATCTCAGTTGCAAAAATCCCAGTCCCAAATACTTTGGAGTGAGGGGTACTTAGTTACTACTAAGTAACTTCTTTATTAAATCAATTTATATGGCTACATACTTTGTGAATGTGACGCAGAGCAACTACAATATCTTAAAATAATTAAAATAATATTGGCAAAAAATAAATAGTCTCTGAGGATAAATCCAAATAAAGCGATTAAAAGAGACACCTTAACAAGCCATCTAATCTCCTGATCTCCAGGCCCTGGAACATACCCGAGTCTTCAATGCTTTACAAAATGTTAGTAGAGTCAAGGCCAATCTGATTTAAAGCTGTATGGCATTCCAAAGAACAGGTGCTACAACAGAAAAGATAACTTTCCAAGGTCTCACATGATGACATCATTTAATTGAAAGAACCTGAAGCATGTCTTCCTGTCAGTGAGATGAGTAGAGACAACTGGGGAGAAGTGGTCCCACAAATAACCGAGTTCTATGCCATGGAGGACTTTATAGGTAACAACCAGCATCTTGAATTCTACATGGAGGTACATGAGTTACTATACTTCGTGGAGCAGAGATGAAATTGTATTTTGAAGGTTGTTGCTAGATAAAAAAAATGTTGCTAAGAAATTTTTTAAAAGCTTTTAGAAGATTATAACCAGACATTTGAATGGCATGGATAGTTATGGTAGCATAAAGTTAAAATTAATGTGGATTTTAAAAATCATTTTAACATCATTGGTGGTCTCTGGCCTTCATAATTTTTTTGCAGACCTTTCAATTACCAAACTAGATAACATTATTAATGCTACCATAGTTCATTCCTGGGGTACAAATATTCTCTTGAAAAATCATTTTATTAGATGTGCCATGTTGAGAATATGAAATAGATATTAATTAAGTTTGTGTCAAACATTTTTGAGGCTCTCAGTACAATAAGTACTCCATAGAAGAAAAACAACAGGCAAAGACAAATGATTAACATACCAGGAATTATTGGAAAAACTATCAAGGGTATATAAGATTAAATCAAGAGAGCAAGGAACTTTCTTGAAAATAAGTATGTGTACCTTTTTGTTATAAAAAGTAGCAAAATAAAATGCCAAAAAAATGTGAGATGCACATAGTAATTTTGTCTATAAATTTTCAGTATGTTAGGGAAATAGAATATGGTGAATGTTAAATAAATGTGGGATCCTTGGTAATCGGAGTTTTCTTGCAGACATTTCAACACCAAACTGGATAACATCACCCATGCTACTATAAGAATATTCAATAAGAAATACTTTTATTCTACATTCTATATTTTATTTTATCAATTAAAATACATTTTCATTTATTAATTAGCGACATCTCCACACAGAATTCTTTTAAAAGACAGATGAACAGCCCCATAGCATAATATATTTTAAAATTACACGAGTGAGTTTTCTTTTTAATCAGAAACTATTTTTTTATCTTTTGAAAGAGAGGAAGGAGAGAGAAAGAAAGAGGAAAACGTGAAGGGGGAAGCATTGGTTATTGTTATCTTCAGGCTTTCCCCTCCCCTGATGTTTGGCGAGGATCAAATGACATCAGGACTGAAAGATCTACGTCTTGCAAATCCCGCTTTTCTCCTTCCTTTTGAAGCTCACAGAAACCTCCTTCTCTGAGTCCCGCCCGTCAACTCCGCTCTCCTTTCGACTCCTCCGCTCGATTGGCTCGGTGCTCGTTCGCGACGGCTCCAGACTCGACTGCGAGGTGCTCGGCTAGGCGCACTGGCCTTGATAGTAACCCGGAGAGGCAACGACGAGAGAAAAGCTGCATTGGGGAAGGAGAAGGCGGGGGAGATCGTCGCCGGATTTGGGTTGCTTTCCCTCCCCCGCCCCCCCCTAAATCAGGTGCTGGTCAGTTTGGTAACCGTCGCCCCCCTCCCCAAGGGAAAAAAAACGAAACGTCCGGCCGTTTTTGGGGGGCG